AATCAGGCGTAAATTCAAACTGTATCTAGTGTTGTGTTGTGTTGTTATGTTTTGACACGAACAAGAAATCACGACCGCACCCTCATGAGACAGGAAGTGTAGACCATCTCTTACCATTGGTGCTGCTTGTAAAGTGTCATTTTGTTATAGAGAATCTTTGTTATAACTAAAATGTTAATAAACAGTCATTATCAACACATTTGATTTGTGTTTCTAACCAAAACAATGAGGTTGTAAAGGCTGAAAAACGCTGCAGCAACAAACTGTCACATGACACACACATTCATTTAACTCAGTGTTAATGATGAAAATATCGATTAGTGCAGCTTTAAGGAGCAGAAAACAGCAGATGGTGAATTTGCAAAATCAGACTGTTAAGAGGATTTGTGTGGCGCGGCGCGAAAAGCTTCTGTAGTTCGAGGCGACCATCTTGTTTTGCCCCACAGCTGAATATCACTGATCAGAAAGCAGCCGTTCTGCGGATTAACACATCTGACGTGTTCATGTTAATGGTTATTTAAACTGTCGGGCTTCATTTCATCATTTACTGACACAGTGTTTGTCCTGCAGGTAGGGGAGATAGAAGTGTTTGTTTTTCATGTGTTTTACAATGAATTATTACCATTTGCCACCCGTGGTGAAATACAGTAAAACAGTATATGGTACCAGACCTATTGTTCAGCATGAGTGCTCACAGAGAGCTGCACAGTTTGTCAATGTTATGTAAAACATAAACTCCAGTGGTTTGTCACGGCCGGGTGATCAGAGAAATCTACGGTGTATTTATTCATCTGATATCAGCTGATTATTAATTCGATTTCTTTTCACTTTCCTTCAAACAAAGGAATAAAAATGAAATGAATTTAATCAGAAACATAAAGACTCTTCTAGTAATGTAGAATTTTAGAGACGTCCGTCTGAAGATGCACAACACAGTCCGATCTGGAGTTCAGCTCAGTTTCCTGTCAATTCAGTAGAAGATGTTCTGTGGTTGTTGTGCATGTTGCACCTGTAAATAAAAGGAAACTTTCGCTTCTTTTTTTAGTGTTTAAAAATAACTTGAACTTAAAAAGAATGTTGTTTTTTTTCTTCAACAAATCGCAGAGGACTTAATTTTCATACCTGTCCAGCAGCTTCCGTTATCTAAACCTGAGTGTTTGTCTTGTCTCCGTCTCTTTCAGGAGGACTCAGTCGCTTCATGGACCAAGCCCTGTGACCACATTCGGCCCGAAGGCGTGCATGCTCCAGAATCCACACGCAGTAATGTAAGTCACACGAAGTCACCGGTTCCTGCATCATAGGGAGTGTTTGTACCTGTTGGTTTGTTTGGTTTGTTTGGTAGTGAGAGTTGAACCTGAGCTGCACCAAACACCATGAAAGCCATTTGCTGTTGCTTTTAGATCTTGCTGGTCATCAGTTAAGGCTGTTAATGAGTTGAGGAAGTATAAAGACACACGCATCAAAAGCCTTTGTTTACTTACTATAAAAATCTGAATTTACTCTTCTTGTGTAAACAGACCACACTGCTGAGCATTCAGCACGGGGCTAATCACTCTGACTTGTTTCTGATGGGAGGAAAGTAGATCCTCCCCTGTGTATTTACTGTGTATCTGCTGAATCTACAGTAAGTGCTAAACTTCTCCTAAAAAGGTCATTTATGAAAACATTTAACCTTTTGAGCGCAGGCCCCCTTAACTTTCCTAACATCCTCTTATGTAAAGTTAGTTAGTAAAAAGAAAGTATTGCGCTGTGTATGGAGATGTCACGTATCTGCTCTGCTTCAAGCACGTAAAGCACTTTTACACTAAATATTACTCACTGCTGTATGATCATCTTTCCAAACCTTAGGCTCTGTAGGTTTAAACAGTGTTTGGTAGGTGGTAATTATTAACCTGCCAAAGGCTAATAATAATATGAGATGTGTTCAAACACTGGCTCTGCTGTAATTATCATTTATATATATTTTAATTTAAACAGCATGTCCGTTCACAAACAAACGCACCTGCTCTAACTTTTGATCATGAAATGGAAAATGAAAAAGCACATTGTGGATTTAATGCGCTGTCTAATGAAATAAACATGGAATTGCATTCTGGGTACCTTTTTGGTAGCAACTGAAATGTGTCTCAAAAATCAAAATCCTGGAGAGATTTTTTCTCTTGTTTTTTAATCCGATATCAGCTCGTAACTTTTTTTTATTTAAGTTAATTTAACATTTTAGAACTCGTGTTGCTCTCTCTTTTGATAAATGAAAAAGAAAGTCACAAAAAAAAATTGTTTTGTTTTTGATACCAAAACTATTTATGTATCTCTGATTGGCACCGGTCCTGAATTTTTATTTTTTTTGTGTGTGTGTGTGAATGTTAAATTAGCATGATGCTACAAACACAGAAAATAGTATGACTATTGTATGACTATTTTCTCATCAAGTAGTTTTGTCTATAAAAGTGAAGAAATTATTTAAAAATATTATTTATCAGAATATTTTAAAGCCCAATTTGATTCCATCAAAATGCTTGTTTTGTTTGACTCACAGTCCAAAACCCAAAGATACTGAAGTGTAAAATCTTTATTCTTGACCTTGGAAATAGTAGTTTCACTAATGTTGACTCAAGGTCCACTTATTAGCTTTTTCCAGAACTCAAGACTGAGGTGACACTGAAAACGTCACATAAAAGACAGACATGTTCACATTGGAGAAGCTGGAGTTATAGTGTGCTGAGCGTTTTTAATTAAACGATTAAACGATTAAAGACTTATACTTTCAGATCCGACACAAAGCTTTTAGTTGTAGTTGAGACTGTAAGAGAGGTGCAGGTTCATTTAATACACGTGTAAGCCTGTAGCTGCAGGGCCAGTCTAGTTTAAATATAGGCCACAATCAAACATTTTATCAGCACCTTTCTGGCAGATTATCAGCCTCTTCACAGAGGTTCGTATATATTTAATTGTTGCAGAGCTGTTGCGTTGGATTGCGTTGTACATAAGAGCAGTTCTTGTTACTGCATTATGTCCACCTGTTGCATAGATGTACACAATGAATCAGTAAGCAGAGACACGAGAGACTCCGTGGAGGCTCGGTCAGACTGCTGACCTTATGACTCCCACAGTCACATAAGTGGCTCCCGGGCGCTGTTTGTTTTTAGGCGTCAGTAATTGAAGGATTAGCTTCCTCAAAGCTGCTCGACAGGTTAAAAGTAGCAGAACCAGGTCATCTTTATTCCAAAATAAAGGTTAGACTGTGGTTATTTCAGGAGGTTCCAGTCCCACTGAGAAATACTCTGCAGTATAATATAATATAATATAATATAATACTCATGTTGCTTGGTTCCAGGCAGTGAAGCAATAAAAAAAAAAGGTGGAACAGCACCATAAATCAGAGTAAAGTTGCTGCTGTTTGGACCTGGAAACTGACACTGGACCCTTGATCCGCTCTCTGTGGAAGGGTGTGGTTGTGATACTGCTCGTTGTAGATAGGGAGCACAGCTAGCTTGTTTGTCTTTTTATTGTTCTGGGCATTATTTGCTGGAAAACGTTTGTCATTCAACTACAGAGAGAAAATTCCTCCAACGCCCGAAACACACCCCCAGGTGAAACAACAACAATGAGCCGAGGAGACGGCCGCATCAGTACACTCTGTCCCACATTCAGTCGTCTTTATTTGGTCTTCTCTGCCGACTGTTGTCATGTCAGAGGTGTCAGAATCCACGTGAGAACATACCAACAATATGTTAGGATATATACTACTGACTGCGCTCAGAACTCGTACGTCACACTGTGCCCACGTGAATCACTCGAGCCTTGTTGAATATTTTCTGTGCAGACGATGGACAGAACATTTAGGTAGAAAGATTTTAACTGAAGTCAGATACACAAGGACGTGTTGAATTAGGGCATATCTCATAAACAACTTATATATATATATACCGGTATATATATATTATTTGATCAGGAAGTCACATCCAGATCAAGTGCAAGTACAGAAATATAAAATAAATAACAAAAAAGAAAAATTAATAACAGAAATAAAAATTTTCAGCGATTCCAAATCTACTTTCAGATATGAATTCATACAAACAAGTGGACGTGTGTTTGTACAGACAGCGATCAGAGCAGAGTGCATTAACATACTCAACCAGGTGACAATAAGATGACGACATAAACGCTCAGGTTAGAAAAGAGATAATGTAAAGCAGTGAAGTGAAGCAGTTACACCCCGAGTTAGTTAGACTTGTAATCATACTTGTGAATTCACCTGCTGGTTTCAGTGTGTCGAGTCTGTTCTGCAGGTTATTCCGCACCAGTGGGGCGCGACATATGAAGACTGGTATATACTGCTGGAACATGTAAAGTCAGACAGTCCTGAGAACGTGTATTAATTATTAGATATTGATTACATTTCTGGAGTAGCCCTGGTAGAAGTAGTGTTGATAGTGTTGAAATCTCTTCGGGTAGTTTCCACATTCCTGCACGTGTTTCTTTATAAATGCTGATTCCTCCCAATCAAAAAGCAGGTGTAGATGTTGTTTGCATTCACATTTTTTACTACAACGCCTGATACCGTTTTATTATCCAAGATAGTATATGTCCTTAGTTCAGAAATATTTAATAAGTCTACATTAACAGAACTGGTTTTGTTTAACTCACTCTGTAATGGGATATTAGGAAGCTCGACTACATCCTGTTGTATTCCCATAATACAGCGTTGCATCATTTACCCACGAAGCCCTGTTGATAAATTTCACCCTGGACTTCCCCTTCCTGAATGTCACCAGACCAGATTGTTTCTTCCTGAAAGCTGGTAGTAATCTAACATGAAGGCTGGGCCGCCTGACATAAAAACACTGGAAGAGCCTCAACGTATTATATAAAGAATGACTGTGGAACAGTACGTGTCTGACTGAGCTATAATAGCTGGATATACTACTTTAGCAGCAGCAGTGGTGTCATTGTTGTGTTTCAGTAAAACACACCTGTCCAATAAGGAAAGCACTTCCCCTAAATGGGTGTGTCCGGCTGAGCAGAGTGGGCGGGGGCTGAGATGAAGTCAACCTTAAGATGAGTGAGAGCTTTAATTCAGCAGCAGAACGCACGAGGGAGGTTTAAGTGTTAAGTCCTCACTGGAACTGGAACAAATATAGCCACAGTGAATCCAGCTGGAGGGGTTGGTAGCTGATACTGCAGCCCAACCACAGTGCATGGAGAGACTCTCACCCTCGCTCAGCCTCTCAGACGGCCGGCGGCTGACTCACAGCTGTGTGAAACAGAGTCAAATCTCTGCTGCTGCTGCTGCTGCTGCTCCACAATGTGTAACACAGGAGGAAGTTGTTAGAGGCAGAATGAGCTGTTCTGTCGGAGCGGGCCACCTGGACTGAGCTCCGTTCTCCGGCTGAGTCGAAACCAGAGGCAGCATCCTTGTTACATGTGTACAGTCATGAAGTTCAACCAGTGCGTACTGCAGGACACACCGGGGAACCACAACGAGAACAAAGTGTGGAAATGGTGAGAGCGGCATCTTCTTCTTCTTCTCTGCTTTCATGAGGTGAAATATTAACTGGCAGCAGGCAGTGTGGGAATTACTGCCAACCAGATGTTCAGAGGGCTTCACTGCAGTCAGCTAAAAGTGATATTAACTGATGTCACGCCAGAGCTGCGCTTCTAACGCTTGGATAAAGTAGAGAATAATGTTTTCCTTTTTTAAGAACAGTTAACAAACGTGTATTTGTCCTGGGTTTGCAGGGGTGGGGTGAGGTGGATTGGTTGTATCGTATCAACTGGCAGTATGAACACTTCAGCAGTGGCAGTGTTTTCGCGTGTTATCACACACACTGTGTTTGTAACAGCACGTCGGCCCTGCGATGTGGACTGAGCCGGGTGGTTGGATGAAAGCAGAGGGTCAGGGCGTGGACGCTTTGAGGTGGTGGGAGGAGGAAATGTTCATGAATAGATCACAGCTTCACGCCGTTTCAAATGCTAATGAACTGTGTTTGTTTGTGAAACTCGACCCCCGCGCAGTTTCAATTTCCCACTTGTGCTTGTCCACGTCTGGGTCAGTCAGGTTCACTTCATGTAGGAAATGTTTGACCGTGTTTTTGTAAAGATTCAGTTGCCACAGTGACAGACACAATAACATGCAATCTGATACTGGTCACTGCTTTTGCAAATCATCTGTGGCAATTTTAAGGCTTCTTTTGTGGCGTTTTTGTGTTTGATTGCAAAATATTGCTTTTAGAGATTTTATACTTTTTGAGGGGAGAAAAAACAGGAACAGGATATTATAATGATGCTGCTTTCTTATGCTGCTTTTTTTTTTTTCAAACCCTGAAAGTGAAAGAGCGGGAATACATTCTGTTGCTGCAGCTTCCGAGCAATCACACGTTGCTATGTTTGTTTTTCGTGAGTTTGTCTGATAATTTCAATATTTATCTTGGACCAACAATAGTAGATTGATCACCATGGAGATCTGGCACGGTGGGAAGACGTGTCAGAGTGCACAAAAAAATGACTCGTTAATCGTCGTACGGGTCAGCAGCAGCTCGTATTCACACGTGTGGAGAAATGTGGAGAGGGGAACAATAAAAAAAGAAGAAGAGATTCAGGTTATCAAGATTTGTTCGGAAAGGTAAACAACATGTTAGGTGCAAGAGGCCCTGAAGTCATGAACGCCTGAGCTGTTATATGTTGTGTTACAGCTCTCAGTAAATCATTTAGTCTTCGACGTCACGTGATGACAGCTGGATGTATTGAATATATTCACTCAACTTCTCTCGATACGGCTGCTCTTAACCAGGTTTGAAACAGCCGTTCTCCACATGTGATTGCCGTAAATGTCAGATTGTGGTGCTGATGCTGATTCGCAAGCTTTTTTTAAAGCAGAGAAAATGTCTGTTATGTGCAGCGTGTGTGAGCAGCCGCCTGCAAGTAAAGATTATGTATTGATCCTTTGACGGTTATTCAAAGCCGTGTTCGTCATTTCCTTTAATTTCTTGTTCAAATCTAGTGAGGGCAGTTTAATCTAATGACATATTTCTTCATATTAAGACTAATCTTTTCACCACTACTGCTGTACTACAGTAGCGTGCGTGACACAACAGAGCCAACACAAAAATGCATGAATGCTCACTTCTGTTAATTTAGAAAATGGCCCTTTAAAAGCCATAATCACATCACACAAGTAAAGCCTTGTATAAGACGTAGACTGCAGGCCGTTGTTCAATCAGTAACTTACCAAACTCTACGTATGACAGAGCCGTAACTAACGCAAGTCAACAGACTTCGGTGTTGTTCGATAATCCAAGACTTGGACCCCTTTGTGATTTCTCAGTTTCAACTTCGACCCGTTTTCCCATATGATTTGGATCAGTGCTCATCCTGTGGGAACGTCTCCTGTTAGTTGGTATTTTTAAAATGTGTTTTTACTCTGAGAAACTTCTATCTTGTCTTTTTCACAGATGTGTCTTTTGTTTTTTGTTTTATATTTTACACTGTGCTAATAATATCCCACGGTCTCTGTCAAGGGTTGAGCTGAGGAGACGGCCCTGCAGACGACACATGGGGAGTTAGTGAAGTACAGTATGTGGTAACAGAGCTAGACTTTTAAGCCGCTGTCTCTAATTGGATGTGTGCTAAGCAGTCCTGGTTATGATGAACAGTACAATGCTTCAGTTAGTTAACAGATCTTACATCAGCTGTTGAGTCTGTGTTTCTCTCCTGAGGTGAACTGTGTGTTTTTGTGTCCAGGCACATTCAGGATCCCGCCAGCCAGAGACTGACGTGGAACAAGCCACCAAAAAGTGTCCTTGTGATCAAGAAGATCCGAGATGCCAGTCTGCTCGAGCCTTTCAAAGAGCTCTGCACGTTTCTCACCGAGGTACGAACACGCGCCGGCATGTTGACCACAAACGCATGTGTCAGCGTTTGTGTTTGGGGGAGATGGCGAGGGATCAAAACTCAACGTCTCCTGAAAAACAGTCAGAACAGAAACCAGATTTTACTTTTACATCCGTGCCACAAAGAGTTGGCGTTGATTTCAAGGCCCCTCCTTGGATGCAGTCAGGGCTGAACATTCAATCCTAATATCATCAAAATCTCAAGGTAACGTGTCACAACAACGGACCATAAACTAAACGTAATGTTGTAACAGAGACGCTCCGGCCTGTAAATCATATCCTCCAGGTGTAAAGGAAACATGATCGTTTGGTACAACGCCAACTGACTGTGAAAATAACGGGTTGGCATGGTTACGGTCTGTTCAGATGCAGCAGCTGTTATCGTCTCCTTCTGTTTCGTTGTAGGTGAAAAACTTGATTGTTTACGTGGAAAAAAAAGTCCTGGAAGACCCGGCCATTTCAGGGGATGAAAACTTTGGGGCCATTACGAAGAAATTCTGCACTTTCAGAGAAGGTATGAAAAGCAGGCGGCCATCTTTGTTCTGATCACTAAGGACACTGTACGATTGTTTCTTATCTTGATGTTTGTGTGTTTGTTTTTGTTTTTTCAGATCTTGATGACATCTCAAACCGCGTGGACTTCATCATCTGTCTCGGTGGAGACGGGACTTTGCTGTATGCATCTTCGCTCTTCCAGGTATTCAGCCGCCGTCACTTTAAAAACAAATAAAGAAGTTTGTGTGGGTTTGTACGTTTACCAACCTCTTCCTCCTTCCTTTGTTTACCTGAAGGAGAGCGTTCCACCAGTTATGGCCTTTCACCTGGGCTCCCTGGGCTTCCTGACTCCTTTCAAGTTTGACACCTATAAGTCTCAGGTCACCCAAATTATCGAAGGTACTGAATGTTCCCAAACCTGTTTCTCAGTCTCCGTCTTTCTAGGTCATGAACGCTCCTGAAGCTTGTTGTGCTCCAGTTTTCTATTACAAGAGAAAACTATATCTCACACACGTACACTACATATATTTACACCTGCGTTGTTTACAGGAAATGCTGCTATCGTGCTGCGAAGTCGCTTGAAAGTGCGAGTGCTTAAAGAGAACTGGGAGAAGAAGGCCAGAGTGGACGAGAAGGGAATCATCCTGACCAACGGGGACATCGAAAGCAGCCGCAAAGCCGTGCAGTATCAGGTAGAGTCTGCACGTTAAAGCAGGACTGCGTTATCTCCCGCTCGTGAAGCACAACCCAGCATTAATATTCACACTCTCCTTGCATATATGTGCAGGGAGATTTAATGTGTCTTTGTTTGACGACGCTGGGAGATGATTGGCTCTGGTTCTGGTTCTTCAGTGATCGTAGGCAGCAAAGATCCAGGGTGGAGGAGATAAGATATTCCTTTATTAGTCCCACAGTGGGGAAATGTGCAGCATTACAGCAGCAAAGTGACAGAACAAAGAGAGAAAAACTGCATAATGACAAATATCAAATACTTAAAAAAGGATAATTAACATAATAATGTACATATCAATATTTAAATATAACGAAAACAAAAAAAAAAAGCATCAATAACAGCAACAGTAAAAATAGAAATGCTTGAATATTTGCTGTGACACCGTGACAGAGAGAAAACAAGGGCTTGAACATGTCGACACCAAAATGGCTCACCCATGTGATGTCGTCATGACTCAGCTGTCTTCACTCTGATGCCCGAGGGTGTTTAAAACACACAGTGTCATTAGCTCAGACAGCAGGTATGAGCTGCACTAATTTAACTGGCTCTTCAGGAGAGAAGAGGCGACATGTTTCAGCCGTGTTTAAACGTGTGAGCTGAAGCATGTTTTTAGTCTTGTTTTCTTCTTTTCTGTGTTTGTGTGTAATTACAGGACTCAGCTGCGCAATGTGGCAGAACTGGTGCAGTGTGTGTGTGTGTGTGTGTGTGTGTGTGTGTGTGTGTGTGTGTGGACTCCGACTGCTGGCGGTCTCAGGCGTCAGTGACGTAGACGCAGAGCTGATTCTGCAGAAGTTAACGCGTGAATGTTGTTTGTTTTCAGGTGCTGAACGAGGTGGTGGTGGACAGAGGCCCCTCCTCTTATCTCTCCAACGTCGACCTCTTCCTGGACGGACACCTCATTACCACAGTGCAGGGAGACGGTGAGCGAGCTGATGATCTCTGTTTCCCTCAAGTCCAGAGCGAGAGAGCGTGACACATGAATCACATCAGGGTTGTGTGTTGTTAGAGATGAAGCTCTTCTCCTTTTCCCCGGAGAGAGTGGTGTTTAATACAGAATCTGTCTGACAGCCCCAACAAGATAGGAATACATGTGGATGGGGCAAAGTTTAGTCTGTGCGCCTCTCACTGGCCTTCACCTCCCAGAATGCCGTGCACTCTGTACAGAAGTTTCTAGTCGTGTTGGAGGACATTCGTTAAATAAACAATACGCACCCAGAGAAGAATCTATTTAAAGGTTCACATCTTTAAAACGCTCGTCAGCGGTCAAACCTCTGAACGTGAGTCGTACTTGGTTGTGTTCAGCTTAGCGACAGAATTATTGACCTATTAAACTTTATACACACGTTAACACATATGGTGACGGTTTAATCTCGTCATCAGGGAAGAAATGTTCAACTAGATACAGATTATACTTCAGCTATTCTCTCCAAATGTGGTGCAGCAGGATGGTTCAGGTCCTGCAGGAGTTTTCTGTTCAGTGGTGATACAGTTCATTGACATTAGTCCTTGTTATAGTCATTTATAATCATGTATGTCTAAATCAGTCAGTTGATGAATTCCAAAAATAAAAGGTCACTTTTGATACTCAGTTTATTGCCGAACATTTCCTGGTTTCAGCTTCTCCATGTTTCATGTTCTTTAATATTTAAAGTCTTTTGTTCTGTCGGTCTGAAGACGTCACTTCGCACTCTGGAAACTTACGGCCTTCATCTGACATTTAATAATAATAATAATAATAATTAATATGTACGTTGTAAGTTAGGGAGACTAGATGTTGTATAAAAGCGATAAAATATTCAAAATGTTCAAAATAAAAAATGAAAGCAATAGAAGGACGATAAAAAGACGACAACACATAAAAGCAAATCTATAAAAATGAGTTTCAAGAAGTGATTTAAAAGAAGTCACTGACTCTGCCTCGTCTCCTCGAGGCAGGTCGTTCCTGAACGCAACAATTGTCAACAATAAAAACAACTTTTAACACGGTTTGTGTCTCTGTGCGTCCTCAGGTGTGATCGTATCCACACCTACAGGAAGTACCGCGTACGCCGTGGCAGCGGGAGCCTCCATGATCCATCCCAACGTCCCCGCCATCATGATCACCCCCATCTGCCCCCACTCGCTCTCCTTCAGACCCATTGTGGTGCCTGCTGGAGTGGAGCTCAAGGTATTTACACTGACTGTTGGTTAACAATTAATTTTAGATGCTACAGATGTGTGTTAAGTATTTTGTTGAACAGTGTTTCAGTCGTGTGATTTAAAAAGGAGCAGATCTCATGTGAATTGAGCACCGAGGGCAGAAAACATGTTTTCTCTCACCTGTGCAAACAAACTGTTTCCTCCTGGGAATTTTCTGAATTCTTTGCTGTTGGTGTTTTTCAGATCATGCTGTCCCGTGACGCCAGAAACACAGCCTGGGTGTCGTTTGATGGAAGAAAGAGACAAGAGATCTGCCACGGAGACAGGTTAGTCCACATGCATGTTTGTCATCACGGCAGACAATGAGGCTGAGCAGAATAAATTAAGCAAAAATAAAGCCAGCAGGTCTGGTAATGGATAATAAGTTTAACTCCCTCGGCAGCTGCCTCGACACTTACAGGCTTTTGTTACGTAACCTCATTAATGCTTAATGGGCTTGAGGCCAGGAGAGTCCCCTGTGCCAGATCCTACTTCTTCCTCCTTCCTTTATGTAACTCATCCAAAGATAATCACCTCTGCCTCTTGAAATGAGCTGCCACTCAGTTGTCAGAGTTGTCAAAACTGTTGCTTCAGAGGGAAGTTGTGTTACTGTGTCAGATGTCAACACCTCCTCTTTTGTTCTTGTGATTGCAAATACCTGTGACTTCTCCTTCCTCGTTCAGCTTGCAGGACCTTTTTCAACCTTTTTCTTTTTCACTCATTCCTTTTTCCAGTATTACCATCACCACTTCCTGCTTCCCCGTTCCCTCCATCTGTTTCCGGGACCCGGTCAACGACTGGTTCGAGAGCCTGGCCCAGTGTTTGCACTGGAACGTGAGGAAGAAGCAGAACTACCTCAGCTCAGAGGACGAGGAGTTCTGAGGCCGATTCCACGATCTTCAAGGTGTTCTCCGAGGTCTCCAGGACTTTTAGCTCCACTGTGCTCTGTGCCGTTTCATGGACAGAAGGTGTCACCAAACTCGGCCGTCACAGTAACGTCGCTCTTCATTCATAAAATGAATCCATAGAATAATGCGGTAAATTAACAAGCACCGGGCCAAACAGCACATTCACTGTGGTCCTCAGTTTGTAGTTTGGCTGAATTCATGTGTGAGAAAAAGAGGAAAACTATGAAACCCCAAAGTCAAAGACATTTATAAAACAAATACTCATATGAATAAAGTACAAAATAAATAACTGAAATAACAGAAAATTCAAATTCTGATTATAAAATGTTATTTCACCTTCTTTCTGTAGTAACAGTTTTATTTATTTCATAAAAAATTGTAAATCTCTTACAATTTACTCTTACAAATTCTTACAGTTACCTCAGTTGCGTCGTGCTGCCACAGAGACAAAGACACACACCACTGTCTCATCTGTCTACTACAGTCTGTGGCTATTTTAGAGCTAGTTAGCTAGCTGCTAGCTAATAACAGTTGTTGAGTGCTGGGGGGTTGCGGGCTTGTGATTGGCTGAAACTGAAACTCAACTGTCTTTGAAAAGTGACAATTATAAATTATAAATGCAAATATAAAAACACCAGCAAACTTTTGAAATAAAAAAACTTCTATAATGAAGCAAAAAGGAAATTTATAAATCTGTTACTATGAAAATAAAAGAATAAATAATGAAACTGAGTTTTAACAAGTTACAAAATAATTTTGCAGTATTTTGAACACTTTGGGTCTCCATAGAGAACCTCTCCTCAGAGAACCAGGATAACGACCTGCCTACGTTTACACGGAATATATATTAAATATGCAGCAGGAACGAAGAGCTTGTAAAATTACACAAAATACCATTTAACGTCTAATGTGTAAACTTGTTAAAATGGTGGATTTCTGAACGGAGTCTGGCCTCACTGTTGGTCCAGCGTTGGCCCTGTATGCTGTGAACACCGGCCTGTGGTCCGATGCAGTTTGTAGACAAAGTTGTAATCAGAGGTAAATGCAAAGCTCGGGAGGCTCGTGGACTAAACTGTGTAAGCTGAGTTGTTGCATTACTCTCGACGGGTGTTATCAAGTCTGTTGTAGCACTTTTTTTAAATCTCTGCGGCAGGTGTCAGGGACACATCCACTACTTTATAAACAACAGGAGCTTTTTCTCTCAGTTTTCTCAGCTGAAGGCCATGTTGCACTTTTATGGAAAATTCTTTATATTTAAAAAAAAAAAAAAAAAAAAAATTCTGATAAAACTTTCCCAAATTGTGTTATTAATCAAATCAGGAAAAACTGAATGACAAATGTTATTTACCACAACTTTCAGGTGCATCCTAATGAAAGCATCTACTTGGCAATAGTGGCCCAACTGTACAGATGTGCCTTAAACACTGGTATCGTTAATGTATAGAAATATTATTTTTCAAGGTTTACATCATGGTAATTTTTTTTAATCACTCACTTGCACAGATTTGTGGTTTTGCAGATTTTCACTATATTCACATGTCGACTGTCTTTGACACTCGATCTGACTAACTGAATGATGTCGTCTGTCCCATAGTTTCTCTGTTCAGTCATGTAGTGAAGGCGCTGAACGACACGTAACGTGATGTTCATTCCAGACAAACAGACGACAGGTCAGACGTCGTCAGCGTCTTTTTAAATGTCTGTTTTTTAAAATGTCCTTTAAGCCATAGCTGAACTCTAGTTTTTATAGACCAATGTCTGTGGGCTGTGGGTGATTTAGTGGTGTGTGTGTGTGTGTGTGTGTGTGTGTGTGTGTGTGTGTGTGTGTGTGTGTGTGTGTGTGTGTGTGTGTGTGTGTGTTGAGGGATTGAATTATTACAGACGTTGGTGCATCCTTTCTTCTCAGTTTGCTACAAGTCTGCCGCTGTGCAGCCTGTGCTGAATACTCTGAGGTGGCCTACCTTACATATCTGTTCAGATTTAATGTCTAGATGTTAATATATATATATATGTTTATATATATTTACATTGTGAATTGGCTCAACAAAATGTGTCGGGGTGAAAAAAGACAAACATTGGTGTCAACCTGTTGTAACTCTCAAGAGGACCAACCGAGCTCTGAAAGGCAATCATTCCTTTAACTCTGAGTCTGTACATACATGTGATGCTTGAATAAGATGTATTTTGTAACGTCTATATGTTTATTAACCAGTTTACAATGTATCATTGCTGAAAATAAATCTATTTGGTACTTTTTTACATTAATGAGCTCTTCAGTCGTTAGTTCTTTTTTTTTTTGATGAAGGTTTTGTTTTTGTTTGTTTTTTTAAGAAGGTTTTGGTCAGAATTGGTCGGAAATACTCGTGGAAGTACTTGAACATTCAAATACAACTAAAGCTAGTCTAATAGTCGTAACGTGTCATAACCGGCCGATGCAGTTTGTTTCAGTCGGTGGTCTGAACTGTTCAGTCCCAGTAAAACCAGTTCTGTAAACACCCAGGTTTTGGCTTTCTACAAAGAACTGTCGACTCTTCCTTCAAAGTGCTTTTCACTTTTGTAACTCTGATACTCTTTACTCTTGACTTTTGTATCGGTAAATTTGTTCATGTTTCTAATATGAATTCTGCTTTTTCTTTTTTTTTTTTTTTTTCTAGAGCACTTTAATAAACAGAGAAAATGTAACCAGGAAGTTTGGATCCCTTTGTATCACACCTGAAACCAGACCTTCGGTTCATGTTTGCTGTAAATGACTGTGGTTGAGGTCGTTCAGTTTGTTAAGGTAACACTAAATGAAGAAGTTATCTGGATGTAACTCATACATCTGAAACTATAATAAACTTCCTGTTCACTTGTCCTTTTCAGCAACAGATCACAACATCAGTATGGTTTTGATATTTTATTAAGAACCTTGAATGAAAAAACACTTGAGCAAGTGCAGTAAAGTGCAGCAGAAAGTTTAGTAAAAAAGAATATTAATAAAAATATTTCAGTGTTGGACAAAAAAGTCTAGTCTAGACAATCACAAGCTTTAAGTCAGACAATTACGATTTAAAAAAGCAAAACTAAAATCAGTCGACTTTGAATATAATTTGCAGAAAGGTTATTTTAAGATAAGAACTATTTTTTAAATGGAGGTTGTTGGCCACATAAAAAATACTTTGGTGACTACACATAGAGAACAATTGTAAACTGTTACGAATTTAAGCTACAAAGGCATTTCATATCGTTTCAGTCAAAAAATGCTTAAGCTGATTTGTGGTTCTTCACATCCTGTAGATACAACAGGCACACCGACAAAAGAAATGTTAGCTAAATAAAATAAAAGTGGAAACAGGAAACGGCACATTAGGCTTTTTTGATGTCATTTTGGTGGAGTTAATGAATATGAATCTGAGCTGTTCGGCCCTCAGAGTGCAGCTGTGTCCTTGGTTCCACGATCCCTCTGTGTTTTTATCACTTGCTGGGTGCAAACACTGCAAAAAAAAAAAAAAGTACAATAAACAGCACAATTTTTGCATTCTGCTGCTTTCTAACCAAGATATCAGTAAACCCTCAAGGTGAGAACAGTCAGGAAAAGTCACTTTTCTCAGAATATGAAATGTGATAATGAAACATGAAGAGGGAAGAGGTTCAGGATATTTTGAAATTTGTGACTGCAGTAGTTCATGTTTCTGTCATTTAGAGTTGGTTTTGTCTTTCCACTCAGAGGAACTTCTGAAGTACTGAAACCAAGAAAAAGCAGTGATGTCAGACTGTACTTACTCCTCTCCCTCAGGCCTTGGCCGAAGCTGTGCACCAGTCTGATGAGGCCCCATAATAAAACCACTTTAATTGCCAGGGAAATCAAAGCTCCGGTGACGGCAGCGGCCTCCAGGGTGTACGAGCTGTCGTGGAACCATTTCTGTACAACCTGTAATTAAATCAAACCATCGTTTTCCTTCAGGAATCCTTCTCTGAGTGTACAGCTGATCCAAATGTGCACACACATGATGTCCAGGAAACATCATGTGCATGTTACAGGGTCCATTAATTCAGTGACGTTTTATGCCTTACTATACTATGACGTTTTGTGACATTTTTATGACATACTATGGTGTTTTTTGACATTTTTATGCCTTAATATGCTAAGACTTTTTTTGACTTTTTTGTGCCTTACTATACTTTGACTTTTGATGCTTTACTATACTACAATGTTTTTTTGACATTTTTATGACATACTATACTATGATGTTTTTTGACATTTTAATGCCATGCTATACTATGACTTTTAATGCCTTACTATACTATGACGTTTTTTGACATTTTTATGCCTAACTGTACTATGTGATTTTTATGACTTTTTATGCCTTACTATTCTATGACGTTTTTTGACATTTTTATTCCATACTATACTATGACGTTTTTTGACTTTTTTATGCCATACTATACTATGACATTTTATGATATACTATACTATGACGTTTTTTGACATTTTTATGACATACTATACTATGATGTTTTTCGACTTTTTTATGCCATACTATACTATGACATTTTATGATATACTATACTATGACGTTTTTTGACATTTTCATGCCTTACTATACTATGATGTTTTTTGACTTTTTTATGCCATACTATACTATGACACTTTATGATATACTATACTATGATGTTTTTTGACATTTTTATGACATACTATACTATGACGTTTTATGTCATACTATACTATGACGTTTTTTGACATTTTTATGCCATACTATAATATGACATTTTATGCCATACTATACTATGACGTTTTTTGAAATTTTTATACTATACTAATCTATGACGTTTTTTGACATTTTTATGCCATATTATACTATCAAGTTTTTTTGACATTTTTATGACATACTATACTATGAGGTTTTATGCCTTACTATACTATGATGTTTTTTGACATTTTAATGCCTCACTATAATATGACGTTTTATGACATACTATACTATGACGTTTTTTGACATTTTTATACTATACTATTCTATGACGTTTTTTGACATTTTTAATGCCATGCTATACTATGACTTTTAATGCCTTACTATACTATGACATTTTTTGACATTTTTACGCCATACTGTACTATGACGTTTTTTGACATTTTTATGCCTAACTGTACTATGTGATTTTTATGACTTTTTATGCCTTACTATACTATGGTGTTTTTTGACGTTTTTATGCCATACTATACTATGACGTATTTTGACATTTTTATAATATAGTATTCTATGACGTTTTTTGACATTTTTATGCCATACTATACTATGACGTTTTATGCCATACTATACTATGACAGTTTTTGACATTTTTACGCCATACTATACTATGACGTTTTATGCCTTACTATTCTATGACATTTTTATGACTTCATGCCTTACTATACTATCTCATTTTTGTGACTTTTTATACCTTACTATACTATGGTGTTTTTTGACGTTTTTATGCCATACTATAATATGACATTTTTTGCCATTTTTTTGCCATACTATTCTATGACGTTTTTTGACATTTTTATGCCATACTATAATATGACGTTTTATGCCTTGCTATTCTATGACATTTTTATGAAACACTGCACCTTACTATACTATGACGTTTTTTGACATTTTTATGCCATACTATAATATGACATTTTTTGCCATTTTTTTGCCATACTGTTCTATGACATTTTGTGACATTTTTATGACATACTATACTATGACGTTTTATGCCATACTATACTATGACGTTTTTTGACTTTTTTATGCCATACTATACTATGACATTTTATGATATACTATACTATGACGTTTTTTGATGTTTTATGTCATACTATACTATGACGTTTTTTGACATTTTTATGACATACTATAATATGACGTTTTATGCCATAATATACTATGACGTTTTATGCCATACTATACTATGACGTTTTTTGACATTTTTATACTATACTATTCTATGACGTTTTTTGACATTTTTATGCCATATTATACTATGACGTTTTTTGGCATTTTTATGCCTTACTATACTATGACGTTTTATGCCATACTATACTATGATGTTTTTTGACATTTTAATGCCTCACTATAATATGACGTTTTATGACATACTATTCTATGACGTTTTTTGACATTTTTAAGCCATAATATACTATGACTTTTTATGCCATACTATACTATGACGTTTTTTGACATTTTTATGACATACTATAATATGATGTTTTATGCCATACTATACTATCACGTTTTTTGACATTTTTATATTATACTATTCTATGACGTTTTTGACATTTTTATGACATACTATACTATGACATTTTATGCCATACTATTCTATGGCGTTTTTTGACATTTTTATTCCATACTATAATATGACATTTTATGACTTACTATTCTATGACATTTTTATGACTTTTGAGAGAGATATAAAAATTCATAAAAAGTCATATTACTAGTAAGGCTCATAAAAAGTCATCAAAACGTTCATATAGTATAGTAAGCGCATCTAAAAAGTCATGTATAGTTAAGCATTAAAAAGTCATCCAAAACGTCATATAGTATAGTAAGGCATAAAAAGTCATAGTATATATAGTAGGCAAAAAAGTCATAAAAAAGTCATAGATATAGTAAAGGCATAAAAAGTCATTTAACAAGAGTCATAGTATAGTAACGGCATAAAAAGTCATAGATTTATAGTAATTGCATAAAAGTCATAGTTTAAAAACGTCATAGTATGTAAGGCATAAAAAAGTCATAAAAAAGTCAATTAGTTATAGTAAGCGCATAAAAAAGTCATAAAAAACGTCATTTAGTATGAGTTAAGGCATAAAAGTCATAGTAATAGTAGGCATAAAAAGTCATATAAAAAAGGATCCATAGTATGAGTAAAGGCATGAAAAGTTCATTAAAAAAGTCATAAGTATAAGTAAGGCAATAAAAAATTCATAAAAAAGTCAGCCATATATCTGTAAGGCAATAAAAGTCTTAAAAACGTCATAAGTATTATAAGGCATCGAAAAAATCATAGTTATAGTAGGCATAAAAATCATCAAAACGTTCATAGTAATAGTAAGCATAAAAAGTATAAAAAAGTCATTGTATAGTAAGGCATAAAAAGTTATTAAAAAAGTCATAGATATAGTAAGGCATGTAAAAATCATAAAACGTCATAGCTATATAGTAAGGCTAAAAAAGTATAGTAATAGCTAAGGCATAAAAGTCCATCAAAACGTCATAGATATAGCTAAGGCATAAAAAAGTCATAGTATT